CTCCGAAGCCATCTCCGAGACATCTCTAGTCCGTGTTGATAATGGGGGAAATGTACCCCAAAATAGTCCTTCATTAGCCAGCAGCAGTCCCCTGTCGACTCATGTGACATTCCTCCAGGGTTACATAGAACCAGGGTGTGGGCTCCAAGCCATCTCCGAGACATCTCTAGTCCGTGTTGATAATGGGGGAAATGTACCCCAAAATAGTCCTTCATTAGCCAGCAGCAGTCCCCTGTCGACTCATGTGACATTCCTCCAGGGTTACATAGAACCAGGGTGTGGGCTCCGAGCCATCTCCGAGACATCTCTAGTCCGTGTTGATAATGGGGGAAATGTACCCCAAAATAGTGCATCATGACTCAGCAATCATCACACTCAACTTTGGTGAGAACCGGGCAAAGGGGTCAAAATCCGTCAATGTGGGGGGTGAAACGGCTGTACGCGAGCCCTGGGGGGGGCACCCGGGACCGGGCAGTGCCCCCGGCAGAAGGAACCGGGTCAAACGGGCCAAAACAGGAAAAAAAATAAAAATAAAAAGAACCAGGCAAAAGGGGGGAAAATGGGAAAAAAGTGTCCGAAAATAGTGCCTCATGACCCCGCAGGAGTCCCCCGCGGACTCCCCTGACATTCCTCCATGGTCGAAATCATCCAACTCAACTTTGGTGAGAACCGGGAAAAGGGGTCAAAATGTAAAAATTGTACCCCAAAATAGTGCCTCATGACCCCGCAGGAGTCCCCCGCGGACTCCCCTGACATTCCTCCATGGTCGAAATCATCCAACTCAACTTTGGTGATAACCGGGCAAAGGGGTCAAAATGTAAAAATTATACCCCAAAATAGTGCCTCAAAATCGGGTAGAGTCACCTGCAAAGTGCCCTCGCATTCCTCCATGGCTCAAAATGTCGAACTTAAACTATTTGGAGAACCAGAGAAATGTAAAAAATACGCCCCAAAATAGTGTCCCAAAATCGGGTAGAGTCACCTGCAAAGTGCCCTCGCATTCCTCCATGGCTCAAAATGTCGAACTTAAACTATTTGGAGAACCAGAGAAATGTAAAAAATACGTCCCAAAATAGTGTCTCATAATCGGGTAGAGTCACCTGCAAAGTGCCCTCGCATTCCTCCATGTCAAACTTTAAGTATTGAGAGAACCAGGCTGGGGGGTCCTTGCGCCACAAAATTAGGCCCACTCAAAGTGCTTGGTGAGCGGATACATTCTTCCATGATTTGCAACAGCCGTTATTTTTCTGAGTGCACCCAAAAACTGGGTTTCCGATTTCGTGCAGACGGTAGTTTGAAAAGTATGGATGAATCTTTTTAACAGAGAAGTGGAAATGAAGCCCAGGGACTTTTTCCCCTTCTCCGTTGTACCAACCATCGGAGAAGGGGAAAAATCGGCCTGAAGCGCCAATAGTCTGGCCCCTTCTCCCGTTGGCACTCTGTCATTTTTTTGACAATTTTTCAAAACTTCATTTTTGATTATTTTAAGTTATAATTAAGCGTTTTCTTCAATTTTTTTTGCTTTCCACGGGTGGGGGCGCCTGGCAGGCCGCCTATGAGCACCCAAATTCGGCCTGGATCATCCAGGATTTGTGGGCTAAGCTCCATAAACTGACTAAATCACCCAGAGAGGTCACCTTTCTAGCCCAAATATATATAATACAAATACATTTAAATAGTAAAAGGTGCACTTGTGCTCTGCATTACCCGGAATTTTATTTTCATAGCCCCATGATAGTGATTAAAAATCATTTTCATGGGAAAAAGTGTTAAAACGCCTGATTAAATTATATGCAGGACCCCAGTGAGCTCCAGACTATGTGCATTGTGTTGGGGAACCATATAAATGATAGAATAAATGCATTTAAATGCAAAAATAATGATTTAAAATCATTTTAGGGGGACAATTGTGGAGAGGAGCCTGAAAATGACTCTGCAGCAGGCTGCCTATGAGCACCCAAATTCGGCCTTCTTCACGGAACCACGACCCCTTCTGTGGAGGGTATTCTCGTGCCCCTGGTGAGCACACAATGACCCAGGAAAGAGTCTTCAAAACACAGGTAAAAGTGTGTTAAACAGTGGGGTAACATGTTTGAAATGACAGCACACTGCTGCTTGTTGGCAGGCCTGACTCACTTGACTTGTCTCACACACACCCAGGGGGGGAGAAAGAGGACACATTGACCCAGGAAAGAGTCTTCAAAACACAGGTAAAACTGTGTTAAACAGTGGGGTAACATGTTTGAAATGACAGCACACTGCTGCTTGTTGGCAGGCTGACTCACTTGACTTGTCTCACACACACCCAGGGGGGGAGAAAGAGGACACATTGACCCAGGAAAGAGTCTTCAAAACACAGGTAAAACTGTGTTAAACAGTGGGGTAACATGTTTGAAATGACAGCACACTGCTGCTTGTTGGCAGCCTGACTCACTTCACTTGTCTCACACACACCCAGGGGGGGAGAAAGAGGACACATTGGAGCACAGAATGACCCAGGAAAGAGTCTTCAAAACACAGGTAAAACTGTGTTAAACAGTGGGGTAACATGTTTGAAATGACAGCACACTGCTGCTTGTTGGCAGCCTGACTCACTTGACTTGTCTCACACACACCCAGGGGGGGAGAAAGAGGACACATTGACCCAGGAAAGAGTCTTCAAAACACAGGTAAAACTGTGTTAAACAGTGGGGTAACATGTTTGAAATGACAGCACACTGCTGCTTGTTGGCAGCCTGACTCACTTGACTTGTCTCACACACACCCAGGGGGGGAGAAAGAGGACACATTGGAGCACAGAATGACCCAGGAAAGAGTCTTCAAAACACAGGTAAAACTGTGTTAAACAGTGGGGTAACATGTTTGAAATGACAGCACACTGCTGCTTGTTGGCAGCCTGACTCACTTGACTTGTCTCACACACACCCAGGGGGGGAGAAAGAGGACACATTGGAGCACAGAATGACCCAGGAAAGAGTCTTCAAAACACAGGTAAAACTGTGTTAAACAGTGGGGTAACATGTTTGAAATGACAGCACACTGCTGCTTGTTGGCAGCCTGACTCACTTCACTTGTCTCACACACACCCAGGGGGGGAGAAAGAGGACACATTGACCCAGGAAAGAGTCTTCAAAACACAGGTAAAACTGTGTTAAACAGTGGGGTAACATGTTTGAAATGACAGCACACTGCTGCTTGTTGGCAGCCTGACTCACTTGACTTGTCTCACACACACCCAGGGGGGGAGAAAGAGGACACATTGACCCAGGAAAGAGTCTTCAAAACACAGGTAAAACTGTGTTAAACAGTGGGGTAACATGTTTGAAATGACAGCACACTGCTGCTGGTTGGCAGGCTGACTCACTTGACTTGTCTCACACACACCCAGGGGGGGGAGAAAGAGGACACATTGACCCAGGAAAGAGTCTTCAAAACACAGGTAAAACTGTGTTAAACAGTGGGGTAACATGTTTGAAATGACAGCACACTGCTGCTTGTTGGCAGGTAAACATTGTTTAATTGTTTAAGTGTTTTTAAATGTATGGAACAGTGTTTTGTCTCTTTCAAAACTCTCCCGTCATTGGCCGGATACATGGGGACGATTTTATATTCACTATGACCGTTACTATTCCAGTGAGACGAAGTACGTCCGGTAACGGGAGTGATCCCATGTTAATTTTGTCCAAAAACCAGAGCATTCCCTTATCCCTGTTCACCCACGACTGCGTGGCCACACACAGCTCCAACACCATCGTGACGTTTGCTGATGACACGACCGTCATCGGCCAGATCACAGACGATGACGAGACGGCGTACAGAGAGGAGGTCGAAAACCTGACATCTTGGTGCCAGGATAACAACCTCCATCTCAACATCAGCCAAACAAAGGAGCTGATTGTGGATTACAGGAAGCAGCAGGGAGAGGGACACGCCCCCATCGCCATCAATGGGACTACGGTGGAGAGAGTCAAAAGCTTCAGGTCCACATCACTGAGGACCTGACATGGTCTCTTCACACCACCACCATCACCAAGAAAGCTCGACAGCGGCTCTTCTTCCTCCGCAGGTTGAGGAGGTTCAACATGGACTCCAGGATACTCTGCAACTTCTACAGGTGCACGATAGAGAGTATCCTCACTGGCAGCATGACGGCCTGGTACGGCAGCTGCACCGACCTCGATCGTAAGGCTTTACAGAGGGTGGTGAAAACTGCACAGCACATCACCAGGACGGAGCTGCCATCCATGGAGGACCTTTACTCCCAGCGGCTCAGGAAGAAATCACTACGGATTATCAAAGACCCCCATCACCCCAGCCACAAACTGTTCTTTCTGTTGCCGTCTGGCAGACGTTACCGCAGCATCCTGGCAAGGACAAGAAGATTCGGAGACAGTTTCTTCCCGCGGGCAGTGAGACTGTTAAAAAATTGAACTGTTGAAACAACTTCAAACATTCATCTGCTACTCAGTAATATGTATCTAATACCTAATATATATATATCATTCCAATAACTTGTATATAGACTCTATTGCACTATTCCACATCATAACTTTATTTTATTTTATAACTATTATTCTTTTTGTATTGCTCTAGCTCTTATTGTTATTATGTTATTATGTTGCATTGTTGGAGAAGCCTGTGACATAAGATTTTCAACTACATAATTACTCTGTAACTATGTCAGATTGACAATAAAGAACCTTGAACCTTGAACCTTGAACCTTGAACCTCTCATACAATACACTAATACAATACAAAGTGTGTGTGTGTGTGTGTGTGTGTGTGTGTGTGTGTGTGTGTTTGTGTGTGTGTGTGTGTGTGTGTGTGTGTGTGTGTGTGTGTGTGTGTGACAACATGATGCGCTCTGAAACTACAGGGCGGCCGAGGACAAAAAATACACATGCGTTAATCGCGTTAAAATAATTAGTGGCGTTAATTTTTTACGCGATAACTTGACAGCCCTAGTTTTAACACATGTTGTAATATATGTGTTATTATAGACTTACTGGCTGTGGACTCTCAGAGACTCACTGTGAAGTCGTGGCCTCAGCTCTGAAGTCTGACCCCTCCCATCTGAGAGATCTGGACCTGGGTCACAACAACGAGATGAAGAATTCAGGAGTGAAGCAGCTGAGTTCTGGACTAAAGAGTCCAAACTGCAGACTGGAGACTCTCGGGTCAGTTCACTGACTGCAGTTCATACAGATCTGTTTGTGTTTATGATTTTCTGAATTTGAACAAATACATTTTAATAGTTATTTCTTCCATTTTTGCTAATGACTGCATATTGATCAGATTAACAAAGAGAAGGTGAATGTGTGAGGGAGAGAGTTTGAGCTTCCACAGACTCACTCTGTGCTCCATGAGTCAGTGGAGATGCTGTCAGTACTGATGAGCTGTGAGGGAGATGAAGGAGTTGTTAAACATCTGATCAAGGTTAAAGATCCAGATTATCAGTGGATTGTTTCTACATCATCTCTGACAACTCCAGGTTTAATAATCTGTTCAGAGCTAAACAGGGTAAACCCTGTTTAACTCTGAACAGATTATTAAACCTGGAGTTATTTCAAACGGGAACTTTGTTTTCTAAATGTACATGTTTTCTTTATTCAGACTGTGGCGCTGCAGGTTATCAGAGATCAGCTGTTCTGCTCTGATCTCAGCTCTGACGTCCAACCCCTCCTATCTGAGACATCTGAACCTGGGTTACAATGATCTGCAGTATTCAGGAGTGGAGCTGCTGAGAGGTCTTCTGGAGAGTCCAGACTGCAGACTGGAGACTCTCAGGTCAGTTCACTGACTCTCTGTTACTGCTGGAGATCTCACATGTTTCATTAGTTATTCAACTTATTCTTGTACATATATATAACATCCATACGTTGGTAAATGTTGTTTTGTTCAAATTTGAAAAACTAATATTAGTTTTACATAAAGTTTACTTTGTGACATAGAAATGTTTATGTTCCCAATAGGGCTTCACGATTTGGTGAAAAAGTCATATTGAGATTATTGTGGACAATATTGCGATTTGCGATTGAATGAGCAAAGTGTAATATGTACTTGGTCAGGGAAAGGAAAGAGCACAGACAAATGATCATTTTGAAATCTGTGTTTCTCAAAGAATCATAAACAAATCCAACAACAACAATATCTGAGTAGTAGGCTACTGTTTGGAATTAACTTAGAATTTGACAAAATAAATACCAAAATATATCTTCTTTGAAAATAAAGGTTTTTCCTGCATACTTTCTGCACTACTATCCAGTAAATATAAGAACACATGCACATGTTCATTAAATAAGACATCTGGATGCCCAAACAAATGAGGATGTAACAGAGAAAAGAGCAAGTAACACAATGGGGCATATTTAGTGTAACCTCTACAACTGGAACAACATATATGTTAAATAAAAGTGATACCCAAAGTATCGCCACATTACAGATGGAGCATTATTTTTGGCCACCAATGAACCTGAAAAGGATATTGCATTGTTTTTGTTACTTTCATTGCTATTGTTTACATTTCTTAAGTGTAATTTAATTCAACTTCCTTTTTTATTTAGACATGCTTTTATTTAGAAGGCGACTTTGCGCTATTAACAGGAAGCTACTGTTCCCAAAGAAAAAAACTTGACGGAGATGAACGGAGATAAAGTACAGGCATTAACGGAGATATCTACATTTAAATACGGTGATATCAAAATAAAAAGTTTACATTAAAGTATTAGCAAGAGGCACAAGGTTAGTGTTAACCTGTTAAGCCCTAGAGCCCCCTGTACAGGGGGCAGTGGGGTGTTTTTTCACGAAACTGTGTCTCAGGGCTTCTTAATATTTAAAAACCTATTAATGTGTCATACCCATTTAACGGGAAGAAACTCAGCTAACTGAAAATACGAACCATTTTTACCGAAACAAAACACAGGTCTCACAAGAAGCGTCTAAATGAGCCCTGAGCGAAAATATGCTAACACACTTACCACAGAACTCAAGGTAAAAATACCCTTATTATTTATCGTAACTGCAAAAACAAGATATCAAATTAAAGCTGAGATTCCACAGATTCTATAGGTATAAGTATCATCACTGAGCGATCAGAACTCGTGACAGGGGAAGCAAACACAGACGTCACAACACGTGAATTACGGAACAATCACGGTCTCAAATTAGCTGTTATTCTGATCAATAGTCGTCTTCAATGGCATTAAAATGATAAAAACGCCGCTGAAGGTTAATCCATAGGCAGTGGCGGCGCCAGGGTATGGCTGGGGTAGGCTACAGCCATACCAAGAAATGGCTTAGCCCCACCTTAGCCCCACCATGAAAAGTGATGCAAATTCAATTAAATAATAAGCGAAATGCTAAATGTTGAGAACACGGATTGCGAAAATATACAGGTCGTGTCCACAGCACACAAACTGATCCTGCTGTAACAACAAGTGCACGTTACTGATGCAATATGGTTAAGACCATTCGGGCTTATGCTATAAGAGGGGTGCAATGAATAGTCTAAGTAGTGGGGGAGTTTTATACACTAAAGGTGTGGAAATTCTCTGACGTTATAATATCAGCGCGGCCGCGGTCAGGTCAAAATGCCTCCGAATGCAATTTGAATAGACCTACAGCCAATCAGAGCAACGCAACGTTGGATCTGCGTCATGCCTTATTGATTGAGATCAATCGAAACCGCCATTCAGTATCCCCATTGGATCTTCAACGTGTACTATCATACGTCACGTTCACAGTGATCCCTTTTTATTTACTACAAGACAAATGTGCCGTTTTATTTCATACAGTTCCATTTTGATTGAGACAGGGAAATAATCTAAACCTCACGCGTGGCGTTTCACTGTCAAGGGGGGCGATATAGCGTGTATGTAATTACATTGCAAATACTGACTTGAGCACCACCACTGTATGGGTTAGCCCTACCATAGATTACCCAACAAAAATGCTCTGGCGCCACCACTGTCCATAGGTTAATCCAATGTGTCTGTGTCACTTTGAAAGGATTACTGATAATCATTGCATTTTTATGTAAAAAACGGAGATTTCATATTATTTTTCTTTTTACAAATCTCTCTAAAAAGGTCAAATGTCACTTGTTTTGCATCAACCTTGATACAGGGTACTTATTATATGTTGTAGTTTGGATTTCTAAAGCTTTTAGTCTACCATCCCATCATTCAAGGGTGGTTTTCACTATAAGTAATGGGGTTTTTTTTGGGCGGAGGTAAGAATTGACCTTTTTTTACAATGTTCCATCTGAATTTACTCTGACACAGAAACATCTATATTGATTCTGACACTTCTACATCCAACTCACAGATGTAACCTTGCTTTGAGAAAAAAGACTATTAATTTAACCCTTTTAGAAGTGAAGTTATAGTCATTTGTTCTGGGCATGTCATTTTCGAGCCTAAAACCTGAAAAACAGGCTCAGGGCTTTAACTAATATAAAAAGGTGTCCTGATTTGTTTATACTGTTTTATAACTTTGCGGTTCACTTGTTTAATGGTATGCTAAAGTGATGCTAATATGGATGAAGCTTAACTGTAGTTGTTGTGTTGTGTCTTTGTGTAGCTCTTACGTTGATTTTTTGAGTCTTTAATAAATTAGAAATCATCAGTCAAGTGTACGACCATCTTTCGGAGGGATCTGCTACACTTGGTGTTCCGGTTTCCTGTTGTTAGCATTCCAGCTTCACAATAGCATGCAGCTAGCACGTTCTTGTGTGTGTAGTTAAATGGAAAATAAAGTGTGGAGTTCCATATTAAACACACCACCTCCGACTATATGTGCTCTACACCACGCACATTTTATTATTTAATTCAATCACAGCCTGTTGCGGTTATGTAATCGCACAAGCTGATATCACGATTTCGATTAATCGTGCAGCCCTAATTCCCAATCATTTAGATGTGTTTTCACAGATAATAAACAGAAGGCTGATATAATGATGATCCTCAATAACAGAATGACGGCCACTGTTATTCAGGGAAAGATCATTGATTAGGACGCAGTAAAGATGAGCTGCACATTTCAGACCTGAACATCTGATTGGATTAAAAACTGATTTTTATCCTCATCATGATTTCTTTATTCAGACTGGGGTGCTGCAAGTTGTCAGGGATCAGCTGTTCTGCTCTGGCCTCAGCTCTGAAGTCCAACATCCATCTGACATATCTGAACCTGAATTTCAACGATCTTCAGGATTCAGGAGTGGAGCTGAGTGATCTTCTGGAGAGCCCAGACTGCAGACTGGAGAGACTCAGGTCAGTTCACAGACTCTCTGTTACTGCTGGAGATCTCACATGTTTCATTAGTTATTCAACTTATTCTTGTATATATATATAACATCCATACATTTGTAAATGTTGTTTTGTTCACATTTGTATTTCTCTAAATGTAGTCTGCAGTCATAACAGTTGAGTGTTTCCTAAAGAAACTATTATTCTTCCACTGTTAGTTGTTAAAGTAAATGTATGTTTTCTTTAGTAAATGGTCTGAATAAAGAAGGTCCTCTGAACTAATATTAGTTTTACATAAAGTGTACTTTGTGACATAGAAATGTTTATGTTCCCAATCATTTAGATGTGTTTTCACAGATAATAAACAGAAGGCTGATATAATGATGATCCTCAATAACAGAATTACGGTCACTGTTATTCAGGGAAAGATCATTGATTAGGACGCAGTAATGATGAGCTGCACATTTCAGACCTGAACATCTGATTGGATTATAAACTGATTTTTATCCTCATCATGTTTTCTTTATTCAGTCTGAGGAAGTGCAGTTTGTCAGAGATCAGCTGTTCTGCTATGGCCTCAGCTCTGAAGTCCAACATCCATCTGAGAGAGCTGGACCTGAGTCTCAACTATCTGAAGGATTCAGGAGTGGAGCTGCTGAGAGATCTTCTGGAGAGTCCAGACTGCAGACTGGAGACCCTCAGGTCAGTAAGGGGTCTCTGCTGGTTCAGCAGTATTGTATGAAACACAGGGAGGTGTTTCTCTCACTGGGGAATCACAACAGATCAGTGATGTTACCCACTGACTGCAGGCTCTTTCATTCTTCCATCAACTATAGAAGGCCAGCTGAAAATGCAAAGCCACATTTATATATATTATTATTTATTTATAGCCACTGTCATTTTATTTTGTATATATTGATTGTTGTATTTTTTTATTTAGGTTTTAATGTGTGCACATGTAAAAATATGTCTTTGATTCTGTGTATATATATAATATATATAAATATTTGTATATTCATTTGTTTTTATATTCTGGATTGTGGGAAACGGTATTTCGATCTCTCTGTCTGTACACACAAACTGGAAGATTGACAATAAAGTTGACTTTGACTTGACATTTAGTAATCAACTCTCTAACAGACAAATGGGATTTTACAGAAGAGTGGAAAAGGTAGTCTGTTTTTTATGGGATGTTTTATAGTTTCTAGCCTAATAACTGGTTACTTCCTGTAATGCAGCTGAGAGCAGTCAGTCGTAGTGTTTGCAGAGAAGATATGATGGGATGTAAAGCATGAGATCAGTCAGGACTCTGAAGCTGACTAACTCAAAGAACAAACACTTAAATTGGAACTAAAACTGTTGGATTGTGTTCATCCCTACAGGATCAGAAATGATAAGATGTTCACAGCCAAGATCCAGAAGACCTGTGAGTACTGAATATCCTCCATTCATCTAGATATGAAACTCTTTCATGGAGCATGACCTCAGAGGAAAACAACACTCTTGTTTTTCTCTCTTCATCATTTTTGCTGTTTCTCTTCATGTTGTATTATCATCATGATTCTCTCTCTCTCTCCTTCTCCTCTCAGGTGACAGGAAGTGAAGACACACAGAAAGGTGAGAGGTCGTACCGTGTGAAGTTTATTTATTGAGGTATCACCACGGAATACATTTAGTTATTGGTTATGGTTTTTATTGAAAATAAAAGTCCTGCATTCAAAATGTTCCTCAAGTAAAAGTAGAAAAGTATTCTCATCAAAATATAGTGAAAGTAGCGACAGTAAAAGTAGTCATTGTGCAGATTGGTCCATTTCAGAATAATATATATGATATGTTTTATAATGATTGATCATGAAAGTGTTCTCAAAACTGGTAAAGGTGCAGCTAGTTTGAATGACTTTGTATACTGCAGGGTAGCTTGTGAATTTACTCCAGGTGGAACTAAAGTCTGATTTAACACTTGATTATATTTCAAATCATTCATCCACATCTGTGAAGTAACTAAAGGTATACTTGTAGTGGAGTAAAAGTACACCATTTACTTCTGAACTGTAGAGGAGTAGAAGTACACAGTAGCATAAAATGGCAATACTCAAGTACAAGTACCTCAACATGGTACTTAAGTACAGTACTTGAGTAAATGTACTTAGTTCCTCTCCTGATCTGTAAAGCTCTCCCAACATATGCAGGTTAGCATCCGGCAGCTTCTATGTGCTGGGGACCCGTACTGTACATTTCTATCATCAAACTTTGGGCTCCTCAACATCTCTGTGTTCCCAGCAGGACTCTGAGCTGCAGACACATTCTTTCTGTGACTTTGATCCAGATATTTGGAGCATAATAACTGAAGCTGTTTCTCCATGTTCAGGAACATCCAACCGGTCGACCTCGTGAAGTTAAACTCAACTACACAATTATTAAAGATCATGTTTAAAGGTCCCCTATTATACTGTTTCTCATCAATATATTATAGGTCTCAGATATATCCAGAGCCTGTCTCTGATTGGCTGAAACACCAAACAGATCATTGCAGCATTACCCATAATCCTCTCTGTTTCAGCCCTGTTTCCAAAGTGCTGATTCTCTGTCTGTTACTTTAGATGAAAATAAGGAGCCCCTCCCCACGCCCCTCTGAGAGAGATTTGGTTACAAAGAACTCAATGGTGCTGTAGGAGAAGATTCAGGTGATAAGGTGGTGGGGGGGGGGGGTTACCTTGGTTGCTGATTGGCTAATGGTTACACAAGCCAAATAAACGTTTTAACGTAGAAAGAGACATTTTGATACCCAACCCAGCTGACTCAAAGGGCCAGTATAGCCCCGCTGTATTCAGTAGTTTCTCTGACTACGGTCAAAGCAGATACTTTGTGGAATATAAAAATGAAACTATAAAACCTGTAATAAGAATTACTCAGAATACTTTCTTTAGACATTTTATTTACATTTTCTTTTACAAATATTTCAAATGTTTCTATCCGAGTGCTTTTCTCATGAATTATCCATAAATCTTGGAGTTTTTTCCTGTGTATTTCATAATCTTAAAGGATATTTGATTTCATGTTTTTGTATTTGTGGGAAACGGTATTTCGATCTCTCTGTCTGTACCAACCCAGTCTCACGGCATTTCGTGTTATTAGTCACGACATTTAATCTATTGATTCCTGTTCACCAACACGATTTTCCCCTTTTTTTCGTGTCACACAGAATGATTTTAAAAGCAATGTATTTCTATTAGTAGTGTGTTTTGTGCCTGCAACACGTCTTTTTATCCGGTCGGGTCTCGGAAGACCGGAAGCTGTGTGGTTCATAAAAACATACTCAATATCAAGCCACGATTATTGTTTTTATTTTAAATCTTATAATTTTTTTGCCGTCAGTTAGGAAAGTAAATGGGGCTCAGAGCCTCAGAATACTGAAATCTGTATTTTTTTATCTTTTTTTCCTTCTAATTTGTTATTCTTTTCTAAATAACACACTGTTATTTACTCGACAATAACACACAATTATCCTTGTTTTTATTTATTCGTTTAATTCCATAATCTCAGGCTTTTTAGCCGTTCCTCAGGAACTGAATTTCAAAATAAAGTCACCGGAAACAGACGTAGACCTTTAAGGGACATTTCGAGCATGAAATGCCGTGAGACTGGGTTGGTCTAGTGTATGTTTTTGTATTTGTGGGAAATACCGCTGAGGTTTCCATATTAAGTTGAATAATTAAAACGAAAGTTAATATAATCAAATATAATCAAATATATTCTTGTATAACCCACAATGAAAATGCATTATATTTCATGTTGTTCAGTAATCATAGTATATACAAACATAAGTGGTTTGGTAAATTGAGTTTAAGGCCTATTATAGTTTATCACTATGGGTGTCACTGTTTAAAGAGGGCAGACAGTTGTCTTCACTCACAGCAGGATTTGCACAGGAGACCCCTGACTCAATGGAAAAGTACTGGAGCCCTAAAATGTGTTTAGGCCACACCATAGGAGAATATGTCTGCACATGTCCTATCCTGCACACCAGAGGTCATGACCTTCTCCCACATATATGGGTATGAAGGAGGTGTCTTTGGTTTTCGGTCCCTGTGTGGATCATAAAAGCACTAGCTGAGAGTGAGAAAGCTCCAGAGCGGGATTTTCACTGATAAGTTCTCTCAAATTGGTAAATTCTCTCAAATTGGTTTTGTTTTGACTGTTTTACTAAAACCAACGGAAGAGGGCCGCTGAAATTAATATCCCAACTGAAGTGGGCCAGTTGAAGACAGATTTACAAAATATAATAAATGTAAAACTGAATTGAGGATTCATATTAGTAATTGACCACAGCATGATATGTTTTGTATGATTGTCATAAAAACCCTGTAAAGTGTGGACCATTTTCTTCAAATAAAATCATCCCACCCTTTTGGATTGGGATAACTTAAAATAAATCTGCGCTCTCCTCTCCTGCTTTAAGGTAAGATTGCGCAACTGCCACATTACATTACATTACATTGCATTTAGCTGACGCTTTTATCCAAAGCGACTTACAATAAGTGCATTCGACCAAGAAGATACAAACTTGAAGAAAACAGAATCATATAAGTACATCAGGTTTCATAGAGCCAAAACATTTCAAGCGCTACTCAACTGGCTTTAGATAAGCCAGTCCTTTATTAGTATACAAGTGCTTTGTTAGTAATTCTTTGTTAGTGCTTCTATCGCTCGAAGTGGAGTCGAAAGAGATGAGTTTTCAGTCTGAGCCGAAAGATGTGTAAGCTTTCTGCTGTCCTGATGTCAATGGGGAGCTCATTCCACCATTTTGGAGCCAGGATAGCAAACCCACGTGTTTTTGCTGATGGGAACTTGGGTCCCCCTCGCAGTGCGGGTGCAGCGAGCCGTTTGGCCGATGCAGAGCGGAGTGCACGTGCTGGGGTGTATGGTTTAACCATGTCCTGGATGTAGGAAGGGCCAGATCCATTCACAGCATGGTACGCAAGTACCAGTGTCTTGAAGTGGATTCTAGCAGTTACTGGAAGCCAGTGAAGGGAGCGGAGGAGCGGCGTGGTGTGGGAACATTTAGGAAGGTTGAAGACCAGACGAGCCGCTGCATTCTGGATGAGCTGCAGAGGTCGGATGGCACATGCAGGTAGACCAGCCAGGAGGGAGTTGCAGTAGTCTAGGCGTGAGATGACGAGAGCCTGGGCCAGAAGTTGCGTCGCTTTCTGGGTCAGGAGGGGACGTATCCTTCTGATGTTATAAAGCGTGTATCTGCAGCAGCGGGTTGTAGCAGCGATGTTTGCAGTGAAGGACAGTTTGTTATCTAGGGTCACACCCAGATTCCTTGCAGTCTGAGGCCTAGGCTCCATGGGAACGAAAACGGGTTGTATCCGCATATTTCTCTTGCGTATAGCCCTTTTTGCTACACGACGCCGTAACGGAACGGTAGAAACGGACCCTGCAAACAACGGGTCCAAAGGTGGATAGATCTGGGAACGGAGCGCTCTGGGGGGTCCAACGGGGCTGTGTGGAGCCCCGCCTCCCCCCCCCCCTCTGCTGCTCACCCCCGCAAAAGTAAACTGCACACTGAATTCAGATTATTTATCTTTATCTCGATATGGACGTAAATGCGAGTGAAGTCTAATCTGACAGGACGGAGACACGCAGCTCCTCCCGCTGTGATGCAGCGGGAGCAAAACACACACTTCAAGTCAGATCATCACCCTTAGCTATTTTAATTACCTCTCAAACTAAACTAGTTATAAATATGTTTATTTTTACTGTCGAGTCATCATTACTGGATCAGCTGCTGCATGAGACAGACACTGACGCTGTCAGAAGAGAGGAAAAAGAGACAGCCTCCGTGTATTTTATTATTATATATCATTATATAGAGTCGTTATTCATTTGTTTTAAAGCTCAATAAATACCAAAGAAGACCTTTGACCGGCACTTTTATAATTTTGTCCGGAAGATTTAAACGAAAAACTGTGCCCGGTTCCCTCGGCCCCCACCGCGGAGAATAAACAGAAGTGCAGCCATGACAACCATTCTTCTTCGCTGCTTTTGTGGAGGAAGTTGCTGCTTTTGTGGAGGAAGTTACAGCGCCACGTACAAGCTCGGCATATGTACTGCAGCTTTTCCAGCGGTTGGATCTAAACGGAGCGGTCTCGTGTGGCAAGACACTATCCGGTGTATATTGCGTGTGGACGGAAGCTTTTTGGCAATTGCGTTTGGGTTAATCCTATGCGTTTTGCCGTATGCGTTCCCGTGGAGCCTGGGCCTGAGCAAACAATAGAAACAATAGAGGTGCCGATGTTGATTGTTAAGTCAAGAGTAGGACAATCTTTTCCCGACATACTCACACTTAGGCAGGGCCACACCTCATTACTGATACCAAATCCTACGGGATCGCTAAAATGGATTTAGTGTGTCGTCTGAATTGAAACAGCAGATAATTGAACCTAGTTCTTCAGAAGTTAGTAGAGGTGAGACCTTGCTGATCCAGGTGGGTTCGAGCCTGGCTGTAAACTTACATAGACTCAATAGCATCTGTTACGTCTATTAGTAGGTCTGATTAATTGCCGGAATAATTAATACAGGATTAGAGTACGGGAGACAGGGAGAGGACGGATGAGATGAAGGTAGGCGATGAAAAATATGAGGAGAA